GATCTGCTCAGGGGCAGGCTGTGAGGCAGGCCAGGCCGAGGTCATGGGGGATAGCCTGTCCACAGCCCTAGCCCTGCCCTTGGTAACGTGTGTTCCTTTCCCAGAAAAGTGAGACCACGATACCCTCAGATTTTTCTTTGAGGTGTGTGTGTGTGCATCCATGATACAAACAAACACAAGCGAAACGGGAGTGAACCTGTCCTGATCCAAAGGCACCCGGTGATGGCACCGGAAGGTGCAAGGGGCATGCCTGGTCAGGGTGAGCCCACCAGGCAGCTCCCTAACTACTGGGGATGCATCCTTGGCTGTGCAGGGCTCAGGCCTGCCAACAGCACTGCTGACTTTCGGCTCTGAGTGTGCCAAGGTCGACTTGGGGATTTAGAAACCGCTGGGCCTCAGGGAAACTCCACTGTGCGGCAGGGAAGGGGAGGAGCATAAGGCCTGCATGGGTCGGGGCGAGCAGAGGTACTTCTTTCATCTGCTTGGCCTCCCAGCCCATCTACTTGGGTTTTAGGCTCATTCACACTGTCATTGTCAGTGGCTTCCGAGGACAAGCCTTTCTTCCTTACCTCTACAGATGTAGTCAGGTCATGATCCAGGCCTGGTCCCTTGGCTGTTGGCCTCAACCAGAATGGCAGACTCCCTGGAGGGGCAAAGTACTAGGGTTTGGGCAAAGTACTAGGGGCAACCTGCTTCATCTGACTGAAGGCTGGTGGGACAAAGTACTAGGGTTTGGGCAAATTCCCTGGTGAGGAGACACCTATGGTGTGTGTGTGTGTGTGTGCATGCGCACTCGTGCATGTGTGCACTGAACTGGGTCTGGGGGCTCTGAGGGCATTTCCTACTGGTTGGTGGTGGCTCAGGGAGGATCACAGGACCCTGTAAGGCCCGAGAGGTACTAGGACAGCTGCCAAGTGCTGCAAAAAGTTCTGTCTCAAGCTTGTGAGGACTCCACCTTAAGATGCTGGTTTTGTGGGACTAAACTCACTGCATCCAGCACCAGAGATGTGCCCGTGGTGCGGCAGGCAACTTCCTCCTCAGGACCATGGCTGGAGATCTTTGTGCTTTACAGGAGGGTGCACCCTGGCTCCTGGGGCACTGTGTATTTACATACACGTAGCTCACAGTAAGATCCCAAGGAGCTGCCAACCTGGGGCCAGCACAGAGCCTCCAGCACCAGGGACATCCCTGGCCCTTGGTGGAGTTGCCAGCCTGGGACCAGCATAGAGCCTCCAGCACGCCAGGGACATTCCTGCCCTTGGTGCTGCTGCCTGGTACTGAGTGAAGGTGACACACATGTGCCCTACCTCTTAATTTACAGTATCTTGATGATTCAGGCAAAGGACACGTGTGCTACAAAGTTCACAGCCGGGGCAGCAGGCACAAGGTGTCCCCCCGCGAGGGTGTAGGTACGAGGGTGTAGGTAACACGGAGCAATGGGCAACATGGCTGCACACACAGCATGTCCTGAGTCCCCCGGTGCACCCTGGTGTGCGTGGTCTTGTGTTAATTAGAACCTTCAGCAGACATAGTGATGGATCCCACGTGCCCAAGTGGATCTTCATTTTTCACATGCAGGGCCTCACTAATTAAAATCAGCTTTGCAATTAAATGTGGAAAATTGTGTTAAACGTTCAAGTGTGGTTAGGTAAAATGCAATTATTTTTAGGGAGTTTTATTTCGATGCAAATGGAGGTTCTGTCTGTGTGAAGCTGGCAGCAGGGAGGTGTCAGGGAGCCTGTTCTGCCTTTCTCTCTCTTCCTCGTTTTCCTTCTTTTTTCCCTGTGGATTATAGATGCTTCCCTCGGCTACAGTCTGCAAAGCTCACTGTCTCTGAGCCAGTACCTGGCTGCGTTCCAAGGCTTTCCACCGTGCTCTCTGTCAAGGCAGAAATAATACAGCCCCCAGGCTGTTGGCAGAATCCAAATGAGGCGTGCATACATCAGGAAGCAAGCCCTCGACTTTCGCTCCAGAACAAGCCCCTGTGAAGACAGGCAATTATTCACCCGCGGCTGCCGCCATGGCAATCACACTGGCGGGTGAGAAGGCAGATGAAATGCAAAAGCTCTGAATATGGAATGTGCACAAGCTAGAGAGAATCCAATAATTTTCTAATAAGAAAAGGGAAGCTGCCATTTGCGGCTTTTAATTTGGAAGTTCCAACCTGAATGATTTGACTCGTTTTCTAAATGTACTATCAGTGCCTGCCACCTCACTTTGAGTATCTGCAGTGAGCACAGGCTGCAGTTAGACAATGGGGCATTTAGGTAGAATTCTGTGCTCCACAGACAAGTAATTCAATTGGCAGAGGAGGGCACAGGTAAATACAGCTCATTACCGTACACTTCCCAAGTCAATTCAGGGAATCAAACAGGCACGCAAAGGACAAGTCCTACTGGGAACCTCAATCTCAAACTCTACCTCTTTGCCTTTGAAATGAATATAAATAAATAATCTTAGAGACAGACAGACCTTTCGTTCACTCCAAATGCCTGCAATGGCCAAGACTGGACCAGGCCACACCAGGCAGGTAGGAACGCCACCCATGCCTCCTCCACGTGGGCTGCAGCGACCCATGGAGTTCAGCCTTCACTGGCTGCCTCCTAGGCAGAGGCCAGGGCAGGGGAGAAGGGGTAGCAGAATCAGACTGGATACCTGGTTCTCGCAATGGGCTGTGAGCATCCTAAGCAGTGGCTTACTCCACTATACCACAATACCTCCCCCATCCATCCCTGCACTCCTCACATACTGGAAGCTGGAGCAAAATTATTACTTAAAAATAAGTTTAAAAATCCAAAATAATTTCAAGTGTTCTACTTACTGCTGAAAGTAAGCTAAAACAGAAATTCCTGTACATTGTTAAATGATACTGTGGAATAACAAACTTTGATTATTTCTTAACTTTTATTGGAGAAATTAGCAAAAAACCTTCCAGAAAACTGTTTTGATGATAGATCAATGTGTGTACGCCCTTCTAAAGATGCAGCTCTCCATCTGCCCTGCAGCACAACGTCCTGTGTCAACACGGGAGGAAACAAATGCTGGTTTCCCAACTTGCCATCGCAAAATCCCTCTTTCCTTAGGCTGCCAGCCAAGCTGGACACAAGCATAGCCAAAGTGTTCATGGAAAACTCATCCTAAAGGAGCAAAAAGGACAGAGAAGCTCCTCCTAACATAGTCACAGTCTGAACACAGACGGGCAGCCCTGGGTCCCTAGTGTGTGTGCAGGGCTCCAGGCAGAGGTGTGTATAGGCCTGGAGAACTGTCAGCGAGGGGAGAGCTTTGTAGTCTGTAAATCTTTAAAATCACACAGAAACAAAGCTTGCTAGCACTGAAACCATCAGAATCTGGGTTGATAATCACCATAAAATGGTATGCACTCATGAGTCTTAGACACCAACAGGGAGTGTCCCCACCCGGGCCACAGCCTGTGGGTAGGTAATGGCACAGGGGACTCAGGACCCAGGGTTCCTACAAGCCTCCCTGGTGATCTAACTGACTGTTTCTACCAAAATAAAAGTTTGGAATTCTAACAATTATGTGCTGTCAGACTCATGAAAAAAGATTGCAATATTTTAAGCAAACACCTTGTTACAAACCTTCCCAGTCTCTCCACCATTGTGCCAGACCCCCAAGGTGGTCAGGTCGACGGGTCCCAGTCCCCCAGATCCCCCCGCAGAGCCGGGTCCCAGCTGGTAAGGCTTCCTGCACAGACATCTGCGTCAAAGGGAAGGCATTGCTGCTGCGGGCGAGAGTGCTTGAGTGAGTTCTAGGGAAACTTCAAGATACTTCCGCAGAACTTCAGCTATAAATCACACCCAGTTCATTCCTGAAGCTTTTCAGCCAAACTGATCATTTTTTCCCTACCAATTTAAGCAGATAAAGCTTACAAACTGAGTAGCCCAGAGAGGATTAGGAGGAAATATGCATTGTTCCTGCGGTTTTACCTACATGCTTCCTGCTGGAAATACTAATCTCGTGCTTTGTAAACGTTCAGACTGAGATTCTTCAGAACCTTCACAAAGTGACAGGATGGACTGCTTTCTTCAAGGCCTAACCTGCAAACGTTAGACGGCAATGCAACGAGTTTAACCAGGAAGATCCGCTCCTCTCTCACGTCCTAGGACCAAACACCTGCCTCACGACAAGTACCTCCAGTACTTCCAAGTACCGCCGGTATTTGAGAGGGTCTCATCATTTTCCTCTCTGTTTTACCCAAGGACAATCAGAATAATGACTTGAATGCCTCCTACCTCCCCATTAGTGCTGCACCAAAGGGAAGTCCCATGTGAGGCGCTGGGAGAGCCCCTGGAGTGGCAGCCAAAGTCAACAGGACAGGAGGCCTCCCTTGTCTTCACACCTGAAGGTGGAAAACAAACACTGGCCATCCTCCAGAGTTGCCTACATCATCACACTGGGGCCTCCTCCTGACAGCTGTGCAGCACCCATGTCTCAGGCAGAGCAGGTGAGAGGATAGGCCATGCTGCACACTGACCTGGGGTGGGGGCTTGGGAGAGACTCGCCCTGAGGAATGCTGGCAGTAATTACCTGCACACCTTTCTTCCCAGGTGAGGGGCTGACGTGCCTGCAATCGGGTCCCCATTGTCCTTCCAGTGCGGCCTCATCCTGTGGCTGGCACAGGCACCATATATGCATGGTACACATTTGCCAGGATGAGCTGCTGGGTCCCTAAGTGAGGTCATAGTCAAGGCTGAATCTGCCCCTGCAGCTCCTGAGAGGTAGAAGCCAAGATGAGAAACGGGCCTTCTTCTGAAGGCAGACAGAAGCACTGAGTGTGCATGCAGCCAGCAGGTGTGAATGGAAGGCAGGGCTCGCCCTTGTCACAGCAGATTGAGAACATCTGACTCTGACAACAGACAGAGCTCCACCGAGAGAGGACCGGCACGCAGCGTGTCCCCTCTTCAACACCCCCCACCCTTCCACACTGGGCCCAACGGGAGCCCTGCAGATAGCACGCCAGTTGGACAAGCAGGTATTACCTTCTGTGTCTTGCATATTTGCCACTAACGTGGCCACTGCCATCACAGCCCGGCGTGGGACAGCTGCAACAGGAAAGAATTGATCACACATATGTCACAGGCAGGGGGACGGGCACTTCCGTGGTCATCCTAGAGGGAGGGACTGCATGGACAGAACAAGAGCTATTGTGAAACTGGTAGGAGGGGAAGCAAGTCTGGGGAAATTAATTTCACCAGTACAGTGGGCATGAGCGAACCACGGATGAAGCCGCAAGTGGCTGCACCCAGGAAAGGAGGTGGGCTTTTTCAACTGCTGGGGTGAGGAAGGACGGGGGTAGAGGTGGGGAGAGGTGACCTGGAGAGCACTAACCTGAATAGCTCCTGTATGGCTGGTTCCACAGGAACTGCAGAGACAGAAAACACAAATTTATCACCAATTGCCAGTGTCCACCTCTGCAGACATTGGGTTGTGCTGCCAGCCAGCGCCCACGGGAGTCGCCAAAGTCCGCATGCAGGCAGAACTGGCTCAGCGGCCTGAGACAGCCTCGGTCACACAGTGGGGCCCACACGTACCTCGGACCCCTTTGGACCGTGTGCGATGGCGCTTCTCCTCGGCATCCACATCCATCTGGGGAGAGATGAGCAGGTGGTCAGCGCTCCTGGCAAGCTGCTCGCTGTCCCTGGCTCCTTAGTGACAGAGCACTCTGCCCAGCTTGCTCTCCGGGGCCAGGGCAGGCATGCTGAGGAGCAGGAAGCTCAGTCGCACTACTTTAGAGGGAGTAAGATTCTAGAGGGTCAGCACACGTGTGACAGGATTTGACAGAATTAAGTGGCCAGATGGGACAACGGCCAAATACCTAAAGGACATATACCCTGGGCCTGCCCTCAGAGCCCACTCTTTCCTGGATCAGAGCTGTACGACAAAATGGACACATACGAGTGCATCGAGCAGAAGGTGTCTTCAGGATGTCAGCTCTCAGTAAATTCTCTGCAGCCCCCAGTAGCACACACTGTGTGGTGAACACGAGAGCACCCATGCTCACGGAACATCCCACTGCAACCAGACACTGAGCATGAGCCAGCCCACGGGAGGAAGGCCCACCCAGCATGGCAGTGGCTGGGGGGAGCCAGGCTGCACTCTGGCAGGAGAGGTTGCATACCACATGTCACCAGCACTTCCTGCATGGTCTCCAGGCCTGGGGCCAGCCTGTGGGGGCAGAGGAGGCCTGCAGACCTCTACGATTACTAAGTATCCCAGGGGAAGAGTGCGACAGATCTGCGCCACACACTCCAGACTAAGGTGTCCTCTGGTCACACAGGCAACTGCTGACCCGATGTTCACAAGGCCTAACATTTGATTCTCTCTCTCTCTCTCTCTCTCTCTTTCTTTCATCTTTGAATCAGTGCTTGGGATGTTGCTTTAAGAACACAATTGCTGTAATGACTCACACAGCCAAAAGTGGGATTGTGTGTTTGCTGTGTGTTTGTGTGGGCTGTACATCTGGCTGTATTGGTTGAAACGTAAACTAGTGAAATCACTGTGGAAACAGTATGAGGATTTGAAAAATAGAACTAGATATGCCCTATGACCCAGTAATCCCATGAATGGGAATTACCACTATTGGGTAGATACACAAAAGACATGGATTCACTGCACCAAAGATACTGCTCCACTGTATTTACAGCAGCACTTCACAGACTAGCCAAAATGTGGAATTAAGAGGAGTACCCATCAACAGAGGCCTGCATTAAGAAAATGTGGCATATCTGCACAATAGAATACTGTTCAGCTTTAAAAAAAATGAAATCCTTCAATTTGTAACAAAATCAAATTGGAGGACATCAAGTAAGTAAAGTGACACAGGCACGTACTGCATGTGGGAGCTGAAGGCAAAACACTGCCATCTGCAGACAGGCTGCTCATCATGGAGGCAAGGAGGGCCAGAGGGCCGAAAGACTTTCAGGGGATGCTGGGCGTAGTCTGTTGTGACACTTACAGCGTGCGGGGTCCGTGCAGTGGGTGTGGACGACACAAAGGTGTGAAGACAGCAGCTCCCCTGTTGGCAAGGCCATGAGGAGCTTCCAGATGTAAGGCAGGATCTGGCGGATGTCTCTCCAACCAGCTCGACACAGTTTCACCCCCTTTGCATGGGCACTCAACCACCCCGCTAAGAATTCTGTAATCTATCGAGGAATTGCTATTTGCTCCTGTGAAATGGGTTTTGCAACTGATGTAAGCTTGGGAGATAATGTTGCTGATCATGTCTTGGTGAGTGGGCCTTTAAGAATTTACACATAGGAGTATAATTAAGCCTGTGCCATTTCCGGACACCTTATTGTATGACTACCCACTGCCCCAGAATCTGGCCCAGACATGTAGCATGCCTTTTGGGAAAAGACTTGATAAGTATCCTAAATACTAATGAAAGTGATAGGAGTATGAAATCAAACTGCTATGGCAATAAATATACTTATGGTGACCTTAAAGGCTAGCCTGTTCTTGTAATTCTTTGAAGCACAGAAAATGTGTCTGTTTCAACTGCTTTTATGATTTTTGGGTAGAGGAATTTAAGGATGCTTTTATTAATAGAGGTATGTTTTAATTATTGTTTGATTGCTTACGGGGTTGTAGAGTCTGTGTTTGTAGGGGATTTAATATTTAAAAAACTTTTGTCTTGGATCTTTACAGTGTTTCCATTGTAACATATTTTTCCCATTAAGTGATGGGTAAATCGTAGAAATAGAATTGTAGTAGGAATGTACTACTGATTAGCAGGTGATCATATGTGCCTTGGCCTTGGAATCCTGCCCGCTGCTCCATGGCTACTACTGAAGAATGGACAAAGGCTTGCTTTGAAGAATATGATGAATACAGTATTTTGCAAAGTTATTTTTAGGGGTACCTGCTTACTCTCTTAGTCATAAAGTAAAACAGAGCAATTAAACACTTCTGTAGAAGCTTGTGATGTATCTGGGTAAATAAAAAAGACAGCTTCTTGAGCTGTTGGCAGAGGGCACCAAGTGACTGTGTCTGTGACTCTTTTCACCAACTCCACACACCCTTCCACAGCTTTGAACTTGGCTGGGGCTGGCCTCCAGCGATAGCAAAAATGAATTGAGGGATAAATAAAAATTGTTGTATTGCTAGCTCATAGTTTTTGTTTTGCAAATTAAAAACTATTGTGAAATGAAAATGTTGAAGTCTGTGTGCACGTACTTGTGTTAGGTGACACGGGAAGCATAATCCTTCCTAAAAGTGTTTTCCTTGGAGTCACGACAATCTCCTTTACTCCGCTGACTGTTTCTTTTTAGCAGGTGTTAGACCCGCAAGGCCCTGGTGCAGGCAGGTTCTCCTGTGGGGGGGACATCTGCATGGGAGCTGCTGTTCTGCCAGTCAAGGAAAATGGCTCCTTCCATGGAAGGCTCATAGAAAACAGCCCACTTGCCCAGGAACTGGCCTGGTCACCACAGGTGCACAGCCCCTGGGCCCAGCACAGGCTAGTTCATCTTTGCATTCCTCAGCCCGCAGGTGGTGCCTAACCTGGTGCCTGGAGGGCAGTTTGATAAGTATGTGCTGAGCTGAACAAAACAAAAATGCCCTGGCTTCTGAGAGGACAGGTGCTTGGCACCGTGTCTTGGCAAGGGGAAAAGGTGTGCATGAAGTCACAGGTGTTCCATCAAGGGACAGCAGTGGGACGAAAGTGAAGCATTTCCCCCAGTGGAACCTTCTCATCCACCAAGGGGACACTGTGAAACATTTAAGTAGGGGGAGTGGGGACCTGGGAGACTGGCTGAGGACGTCAGAGCATGTCATGGTGCTGTTTCTGAGAAATCTGGTCTGAAAGACCAGTTACTAAGAACAGGTCACGTGTACTACGAGGTCAAGCATGTGTTGAGAAGCGTGGCCAGTGCAGCCATTTCCTGTGTGTGCTGCGTCCTCCTAGGGCTCATGGCTCTCTCCTCTGAAGCCCTGAGGGGAGCCGCTCATTGCAGTGACTTACATACCTGTGCCCCTGGCATGTAGGTCTAAGGGTTTGGTTTTAAAAGGTTTCGTTTTAACCTTAGCTCATCCTGCTGAGGACATTCAGTAACTTTTCTGGGTCTGAGTTCCCTTAATTATACAAATGTAGATAACAGCGCCCATGTGGTCTTCATGGACCCCACTTCTCAGCAGCCCTGCAGACCCAGAGAGCTGGGCTTCTCTGAGATGGCACCTCAGGCTATGGTATAAGCAGCCAAAGAAGTGAGGCGATGCCAGCTTTGCACACACTGCCCAGTTGTGTGCTAGGACAGGGAATATAGCTCTGCCCATGTGGTTGGTATGTAGCCATCTGGGTCACTGGGTAAACCTGGGCCCCTTGCTGGGCTCATTTAAATGTAGTCTTTGCTTAGTCTCCATCTGTTGCCAACAGGCTTGCAGTGCCACGTGCATGCCCTCTAAGCCAATATACTCTCCAATAAAGAGCAGTGGGCTCATCCCACTTGATCAACTTGGCTTTCTGTTTCCAGCCAGTTTAGGACAGGTTTCCCTCCATACCGTCTTGGTGTCAGGAACCACAGCCCCAGAGTCACAGCTCCAGGCAGGCTTCTTCCTGGAGCTGGAACTGTCTCAAGTTGTGCTCAGCTCACAATCACCTCTGTGGTCGGCCCTAGCTCCACTTACAAACAAGACATAGACTTAACCAGGTCCCAGTAAGAAGATATGCTGGCATTCACCTCCGGTGCCACCCAGGCTGAATCCTCACGCTGTGCAACACCCATGTCAGTGATTTCTGATGATCTGCTATCCAACTGCCTTCTTCCCACCAGGTCCAGGCTACTTCCTCATGTCTCTCCCATTTTCCTGCCAATTCCTAATGAGACATCCATTTCTTTGCCCTGCAGTGAGCTGTGAGGAGGATTTTCCAACGTCCCAGCTGTGCGTGTCTCCATAGGTGGTACCCTCTGAACCAACTGGAAAGTAACCTGCTCAATCAATAGGCTAATTGCTCTTTCCTTCCAAAAACTCAAAATCATACTTGACCTACTTCTTCACTTTCATCAAGTCATGTTCTGGTTTTTGTTGTCTTTCCCATCTGCCTGGGCACCTCCATGGTCCCTAGCACATGCTATGATGATGGAGCATTGCTCGACTCCAAGACACCTGTCCGTTCACTTGATTGTTGTGACATTTCCTTTCAGCCATGGAATTTTCTAGGTCAAAAACTCACAGTGGCTCCCTGTTGACTATCCCGAGTCTAAGCAGCTATACGTGTTTGTCCTGGTTTTACCTATTAAACATGATCAGATCAGAAAATGTCAGAGGAAGTGCATTCAGTAGTGTGTTGATTAGTGGCTTGGAGGTAGATGGAGCAACAGTTACAACTGCTCTCCTTCCACCCTCTTCCTGTCCCGAGACAGCCAGCTTTCACTCTGCTCTGAAATGTGAAGGGACAACCAGCCTTCTTCTGCATGCTTACTACTTCCAAAAGAGGCTGTATCGCACACAGACTTCTCTATAACTTGCCATTTTCCACTTGCCAAAATTCACAGTATTTCTCCAGGTTATTGCCTACAGATGGAACTCATTTTCTGGGGGTGGTATAGTATTCTTCAGAAAGTGTATCTACAGTCGAACCCTCTAAGTGCCTCTGCAAACAGGCAGGTGTTTCACTTCATTTAGATATTCTATTTCACCAGGAAAAAAAAATGTTGCAGTAACTATCACAAGTTTGTACACATTTCCATAATGAGATTTTCTCATAATTGTCAGTTTGCCATGTGACACAACCATTTAAATGTTTATTTATAACTTCTGCTGGAAGAACAGCTTTCTCACTATTGATGAAACCACCCCTTCCTGAACACTGAGGGTTAAGGTTAGGGTTAGGGTTGGAAGGGGGCAGCTTCTCCAGGTTGGTCCTTGGCACATTCTTACATATGAAACTATTTCATATCTATACCTGCTTCTCCTCTGAGAAACCTCAACACTGATCACTAGTTATTTAAGGTTTTAACTTTTTTGGCTGTCTTTAAATATTATATGTTCTTATTTATGTATGTATTTCACTCTGCTGATGGTATTTAAAACATGTGACTTTATGAGCGACAAAGAGAATCTCCCGTCTGTTGGTTCCCTCATCAGCACTATTACAAAGCCAGGGCTGACATCGGTCCACCTCCCCTACAGGAGTGGCGGGCGCCAGCTTCTTGTCTCAGGGTGTACATAAGCAGGAGCTGGAGTCAGAGAGCAGAGACTCAAACCCAGACACTCTAATTTGGGATGCACGCATCCTACATGGCATTGTAACCGCTGTGCCAAGTGCCTGTTCTTCACCAGTGGTACTTTTCCAAATACCTAGGGAAATTGTGTTATGATCAGTCATTTGAAAAGAAAAGTAGGCTTCTCATGAAACCTACTCTGGGGAAAGCAAGGCGCTCCACCAGCTAGAGTCTGCGTGGGCTGTATTCACACTGGTGCTGCTGGAAGACACTTCCACAGGGCTGAGGTGCAGAGGTCCCCACCATAGGACAAGGGCTTGTTGCCTAAATGTCTCCCTCCACAGGTGCCATAAGGGTGAGGCTTCATGCAGCATGGAGGAGACAACCAGTATCCAGTGAGCCTGGCACATGGCTCAAGGAAGCCATGGCTGGCATGTAATGGGGTGGAGCTTCTAGCTCCTCACATAATAGGTCGTGTGAGTGCCAATCTTCTTTCACTTACATGCACAGAACATGCAGTTCTTCCCTCACACACGCACTCAGTTCTTCCCTTACACAACAGTTCATGTTCCCACACAGTTCTTCCCTCACACAATCAATTCTCTCTCACACACAGTTCTGTTTCTCTCTCACACACACACAACTCAGTTCTCTCTCTCTCACATACAGTTCTATTTCTCTCTCACATACACATACTCAGTTCTCTCTCTCACACACACACAGCTCTTCCCTCATACAAACACCCAGCTGTTCTCTCACAGACACTCAGTTCACTCATTCACACGCACATGCCCCTCAGTTCCTTCTCATACACACCGAGCAAGCCTCTGACAGCTGCGCCCCCACTTGCCTTGCACGAAGTCTTCTCTCCTGAGAAGGCAGGCAGTGCAGCTCCACCGGCCAGATGCAGGTAGTGGGGCTCGTTTGGGGTTCTAATCCCGGCCCTCCCCAGCTTGTGACTGTGGCAAAGTCACTCAATTTTTCTGTGCCTTGATTTCTCCATCTGAAAAACATGAAACACTAATAAAGTACCTAACAATTCCATCAACATGACAGAAAAGAAAAATCAATGGCCTCATCTTTCAACAGCCTATGGAATTCTTCCACTGCCTCCCCAGGGAGGGGCCCTGCCTCTCTGGAATGGGGGAGGGGAGGGGCTCCTGCACATGCTCAGGTGGCCCTGTGTGCATCAAGCCCCATCTGCAGCCTCAGCTCTGCAGGTGTGACAGGTTCTGCCCAACTTGCTGGTGTTCCCTGAGCTCTTGGTTCACAGGGTCAAGCGCCCCTTCAGGCAGATGACACAGATTGGGGCCGAATCAGCCTCCACAGGAGCCTTAGGGGAAGCTTCAACACAGAATTCAAAGCATGGGTTTTACCCAGCCTATGACTTCTCCAGGGAGCTTAAGTAGAAGAAGGGGCTGGCCTGGTAAGGGTTGTACAGTTTCTTACCCATTAGTCACATGCCCATTGGCCATACTTCATGTTAACATTACAAATGAAAACCTGAGAGTCAGGGAGAAGCCCTTGGGAATTCAGCCTCACACTGGTACTTCTGAAGTCTAGTTTTACAGACACCGGGCACCGGCAGTCCGTCAGTATTCTCTGCCCTCCCTCATCTGGGGAGCAGGGCTAGGGAAACACAAGGCAGCTTTCTCCCCAGATCCCAGCACTCCCTTGGTGGACCTGGGATGAAGCTCTGAGCCCTTTCTTGTGCCCAATCTGCCCCAAAGGCTCATTTCCCTCACACAGTGTTTCAGTGTGTGAACAGGAAAATGCTCTGAAAGAGAGAGGGAGGGAGGGAGAGAGGGAGAGAGGGAGGCAGGGAGAGAAACGCGCCAGCACATGTGTCTGTTTTTTTTTTTTTTCAGATTTTGCACCTACCCCTCCTTTGGACAGGGTCACTTCCCTTGACTGTGGCTGGGGACTCTTGGTCTGTCTTAGGACTGGGTCAGGGTCAGTGCTATACAGGTGCGGGACAGCGCAGCAAGGACAGCTCCCATCTGTCTTTGTGTCATATACACCTAACCCGTCATTAGCTTACATGGGTTTGTTGACTGGATGAGCAAGGAAGGAACGAGGAAAGGGATGAAAACAGGGAAGGAGGGAGGAAGAGAAGAGAAAGAGAGCAGAGCGCTTCCCTGTCATCTGCGGACTGTGTTCGAGTTTTAATGGACAGGACGGTGCTGCCAAGTGAGCCACTGTTGGCAAAATGTCTCATGATTCCATGGCTTTGAATCAGAATTCAATTTTTCATCTAATGACTTGTTTATACTATTTAATAAGCAATCATTTCCTAAAGATTTCAATTTCAACCTTAGTTAACTAGTTGGATTAAAAAAATCTACCAAATACAGCAGTATTATTACCATCCTTATCTACAACTTATTAATACATATTATGTTTTTGAATTTCAGCTTCTTATTTACACCTGACAATGTAAGCATATGGCAAAAGCTACATGCTCCCTAAATAAGACTATTAATTAATTCAACTGATATTTATTCTTTGGAATTCTACTAAACTTAAGTAACTCAACATAAGACAGAGTAGGTAAGACATAGCTATACAAATTCAAAGTAAGGTAATCAAAATCATGATTAATGTGCAGAAAAATAATTTTGACCATAAGAAAACACCAAGTGAAAACATGAAAGAAGGGAAAGCAAAAATATCTCAAAGGTCTGCTTAAGTAAAATAAAATCCATGGGAAATGTTCAATTTACTCCCAGAAAGTCAATAAATGAAGCACATTATCCGTGAAGTCACAGGCGCTGAGTTTAATGGTTGGCCAAATGCTGCATGCTTGTATTCTTCGCAAATTCTTTTACACATTTACAAATGTGGTAAAGACGCACTTAGTCATATTGGAATATTCCACTGAATGCTGCATCAAGAATATACAAGGAGCTCATAATATTTAAAAATTAGGTAACTGGGCCCGGCGCAGTGGCGCAAGTGGTTAAAGGTCCTCGCCTTGCATGCCCGGGATCCCATATGGGCGCCAGTTCAAATCCCGGCAGCCCCGCTTCCCTTCCAGCTCCCTGCCTGTGGCCCGGGAAAGCAGCCGAGGACGGCCCAAAGCTTTGGGACCCTGCACCCGCGTGGGAGACCCAGAAGAGGCTCCTGGCTTCGGCATGGCATAGTATTGGCCGTTGCGCTCACTGGGGGAGTGAATCATCGGACGGAAGATCTTCCTCTCTGTCTCTCCTCTCTGTATATCCGCCTTTCCAATAAAAAAAACATAATAAAAATAAATCTTTAAAAAAAAATTAGGTAACTACGGTTGGTAGTAACGAGTGACAAGAAAACTATGATGCTGAAACTCACTTTTAGCATAAATTAAGCTGGATTGGAGATTTCTGTGAAGTTGTCAGACTCATAAAAAGTACATTCATTCATGGGTTTTCCTTGTGTTGACACCCAAACTACCTCAGACAGGACTTCTTGCCGGATGCAGGGAAGCACGGCGGCAGGGGCACCCGGCTCGGGATCGTGTCCCGGCGCCCTCAGAACCCTCCTTCTGGTGCCTGCGTTTTCATGTTAAGCCAGCTGAGGTCTTGCGCGTGAGTTCCCTCTGGGACATTCACACTCAGATCTGTTTTATTTCTGCATTTCACTTTTGGACAGACTTGCGCTCACTGCCATCCCAGCGAGGCCGACGGGGTGTGAGGCAGGCCGAGTGCAGGCTGCCTCACTTCGGCCAGGGCCCATGGTGACTGGGCCGGCTTCTGCTCTGGCTCAAGCCCGATCGCTCCCTCCGTGGGCCTCCTGCTCCAGCTGCACACACGGCTGGCGTGGGAGCCCAGACGCCCTCACCACCATGGCGCTCCTGGTGTTTGCTGGGAGTCTCGCCCACAGCGTGGCTTCCAGAACCTTCCCTGAGGCCCAGGCACCTACCATACCCAGGCCCCACCCACAGCACCGAAGCGCCGCCCCATGGCCCGCCCACCATGCCCCGGCCCCGCCTGCCGCCCTCACCCTGCTGTGCCCAGGCCCCGCCTGCCATGCCCAAGTCCCGCCTACCGTGCCCAAGCCCCGCCCCAGGCCACGCCCACCACGCCCAAGCCCCTGGCCCTGCCCCAGCCCTTCCCTGGTTCCGTCTGCCACCACCCCTTGCCGAGCCCAAGCCCTGCCCACCGTGCCCAAGCTCTACCCTGCCACGCCCAGGCCCCCGACCTGCCAGGACTTGTGCCGAGTTTGTGGCTTTGGCTCCTTTTGCACTCTGCCAGCTTAGCACTAGCAGACAGGGTGCCCTGAAGTGACATGGCTAGGACAAAACGTGGAGCATCCATCCACTTCCCGGGGTCCTGGGGCTGTTGGCGCCCCAAGCCCAGGGGTCCTGTGACCTGCAGCTGTCTGCACAGTGCCGGGGTTACCCTCTCCCTACATAGAACCAGTCCACTGGTTTCCAAGGTGGTTGGTTTTGTTTTTATTTGTTTTCTAAGAATTCTTCCTTTCCCTTGTTTGAGAGGCAGACTGACCTAGGGAAGGAGATCTCCCACGTCCTGGTTCAGTCCTCAGAGGCCCACAGCCACCAAGCCTGGGCCAGGCTGAAGCCGGGGGCTGGAGACTCAGTTCAGGTGTCTCATGGGTGTCCCCACATCAGTAGGAACCTGGTGTGCAGTGCAGAGCCAGGGTGGGACCCCAGGAAACCCTGGCGTGCTGTGTGCTGACGCAGGATGCCACCCCTCAACCAGGTCCCTCAGGGCTGGGAGCGTGCAGCGCTGGCCTGCCAGGGTCCAGGAAGATGCAGGGTGTGTGTCGGAGACACGCGTACCACACAGCCACAGCCGTCTCACCAAATCCCATTTTGTTCTGGACTCCCCCTCTGAGAGTTTCCATTTCAAGCCTGCTCTGTAACAGCTGGCTTCAGCCCCTGGCCGATGTCACTGCTGACCAGCAAAGGAACGCACACTTGGGAAGACACTGTGGGCTGGAGGACATGGCTTCCCCATGTTCACTGTCACCCTCACCGATCGGGCGCCCCTGTGGGTAATGGCCTGCCTGCGTCCCTTCTGGCTGCCCTCGTTATCTCAGTTTACAACAAGAAGGTACTGATAAATCACCTAAAACACGAACTGCAAAGTGCAATTTAGTATCTCACAATTCACATAAAATTAAATTCTAAAACCACTTGCTAGGTTACGCGGTATGTTAGTTGGTCTGTAGCTTGACGCCACCGGTGGATGCTGGGAGACCTCAAACTCCAGGTCACCCTCGGGAGCATGCGTGTGGTGAGGTGTGCTTGTCCATGTACAGAAACACCTGGAACAGCTGTGGGGTCCCTTCTGGGTTCCGTTTCACACCTCAGCCCTCCACACTGTGCAGAGGAGAGGCCTGGCCCAGCCTTGCTCTTGGCCGCAGCGCCACACCTTGCTTGGGAAGTATGACCTGTAGCAATAGCAGGGTGAGGGCAGAGTGCTGTGGGCATTCCGGGAAAGAACTAGCACATGGAAGATGTTTCTCATTCTCTGTTTCTCTTTCATTTAAAATGAAAATAACTTTTTATAGTCAAAGTTTCTAATATTTATTTTTAATAATGATTACAAGGTTGAGAGGAATGCATGTGGGCCTCTGTCTGAGTGAAGAGGATTGAGTTGTGGTGGAAGGTGAGATACATGTTTCAGGTTTTTTCCTGCTGTGTATTTGGGGGGTGAAGGAGGGAGCCACACCTCACTATCAGCACCCTAGAGACCCCAGTGTGGGAAGAATGTTCTCAGAGCGCTGCTTGGGTGGCCCCTGCTGACCGTTCCCCGAGAGCTGAGGGCTCACCATGCCACAGACCCCAAAGGGGAGATGAGATGAGGCTTGGCACTTTCAGGCTGAAGGCCGACCTGTTGGGCAGGGGGAGTTGGCAGCTGTGGCACCCATGGGAGGGCAGCTGCAGGGGCGTTCCGAGGGGAGGGGGAAGATACGTCCAGATCCCTCCCCCGCCCACTGTGGGAAGAGGCAGGGCTCAGGCGGGTGTGAGGGTCTGGAAGGCTGGATGGGGTGACAGCAGGCAG